AAGACACATGGTTTAAGGCAAATCCACATAAAGAACATATACTAACTGAAATAACCAAAGAAGCACATAATTGTGCCACCATTGAAAAAGTCAACCCAATCTTTGATTTGACTGAATTAAGACGATTGAGGGAAAGCAAAATATAAAGTAAAACCATGAAATATTGTATCGCCAGAAAGATGAAATCATCAGTAAATTTCGTGGATTTAACCTTGTTAAACTTTAAATTATTATAAATTCCATATGATTAATTCATATATCAAATGAAAGATGAAATTGATGAAATAAAAAAAAATAATCTTTTTTTTTTTTTTTACCTCTAAATAAAAATGTTTTAAATCTCCTTTAGTAGTTATATTTATTCCTTTAATTTGGTTACCACCAATATTACATTTTGTATCTATATTATTAATTACTTGATCCCAAAGCATATCCCAAGAATTAACAATTTGGTCTCTAGTAGAATCTTCCAGAAAATAAGTTAAAATTATTGAATCCGCACTAATAATTTTTCCTTGCTTTTTCTCAATTATAGGATTACCGAAAACGGAACTTAAAGGCATTGGTATCCCGAAAGATGAAGTTGAATTAAATTGCGATAGAGTTGTTAGGATAGAAAAATCATTTGAAAGTTTTTCTGAATCATATGACCAATAATCAAGTGGGGAATGAATTAAGCAATCGTTACTTCCAGAGGGTTTTAAACAAAAATCCAGAAGAGTATACTCTTTGGGAAAAGAATTGGAACCAGAGGGATCATTAGGAAGTACTACAATAGTATTTGCAATTTTATTGTGCAGATTCATAGTCCAAAGTAATAGGTCTTTATTCAATACACCATGATTATTATAATTCTTCAAACTAGTAGTTTGAACTATAACCTGCTGCACACGAAATGAAGGCTGCGTTTCACGTTTTTCCAAAGAGATGTGTTTCGTAACAGCTGAACTGGACGAAGAAGATTCTTCCCAGAAGAAAGGCTGATTTTTAACTTTTGAAAGGTTTAGACAATACAAGTCGAATGCAGGATAACATAATGGCAAAACTACAAGGATTGAAAGAATAATTACGG